GTGGTACAACGGTTGTGAGTGGAGCAGCATTAAGAGTGGCTGCCGTGTTGCTTCTAGTCGACGAACGAGGACTACGTCGAGGACGCGAACCGCTAGCCGGGCCGTTGGCTGGTAGCTTACGTGATTGCCTTTTTGTGGGTGGCCTTTTTGTGGGTGGCATACTATATAATGATAAAACTTACAGAACAGTATACAATAGTAATAAGAAGTGATTATATAGAGTATACGTGCTAAAAATATGGCATCGTTGGGCCGCAAGAAAAAACGATGCTAATATGTAATGTAAAAGTTTCGCCTGTAAAAGCAAGCCTGGCAGACATTTTCGCGTCGCCGATTGGCAAGCTCTGGATAGCCAAAGGTACATTATAAGAACAAACTTCAAAAACATGAAGAACAGTTCAGATAAACCAACAACGTTGGTACAAGTATATTAGTCAGAACAAACTTCAAAAACATGAAGAACAGTTCATGAGATAAACCAACAATGTTGGTACAATTATATTAGTCAGAACAAACTTCAAAAACATGAAGAACAGTTCATGAGATAAACCAACAACGTTGGTACAATTATATTAGTCAGAACAAACTTCAAAAACATAAAGAACAGTTCATGAGATAAACCAACAACGTTGGTACAATTATATTAGTCAGAACAAACTTCAAAAACATGAAGAACAGTTCATGAGATAAACCAACAATGTTGGTACAAGTATATTAGTCAGAACAAACTTCAAAAACATGAAGAACAGTTCATGAGATAAACCAACAACGTTGGTACAATTATATTAGTCAGAACAAACTTCAAAAACATGAAGAACAGTTCAGATAAACCAACAACGTTGGTATACAAGTGTGGTATTAAAATCCTCAGGACCCGAGGAACAAATAAATTTGATATACGATATAGCTTATGAGCAAATCGTAAAGTATATATGTAGATGAAAAATGCTTACCTGAATTAATGACAGCTGAAGAAATATAATGAAAAGTTGACAAAAGTAAACTTAGAAATTGTCTACGACAATATAATGATATTCACTTCACTGTAGTTCGTGCGTGAATGAATTTAACTTTGCAAGGGTGTATTCATCACCCCTTCAGTAATCCTTGTTGTATCAGGTTGTACCAGGTTATATCCTAGCCGCAATGCCTAAGTACACAGTATTATCCTATTAGACTATTACCTACTTATCTAAATCTCAGTCTAGGGCGGAAAGCATAAAAATTCTATTAGCAAGCCAATATTTTATTTCTATAACGATTCAAGGCCGGAGGCTATAAAAAGACGAAAGGTCTGGGTAGATTTCGTGAAGAGCAAACGTGCGAAGTGGGAGCCAGGCAGTGGAAGCCATATATGCTCTAAGCATTTTAAAGCGGACGCTTTTGACAAAATATTGAATTTGCGCGGACAAGAGAATACGTATAGACAAAAGCTAAAGAAGGATGACCTAGGAATTGCATTGTTTCCATGTATATTTCGTACGGATGCGACGGAAAAACAGGTTTCAGGCAGAGTTGTAAAATTATTTCAGAACTGTTGACAAAAAAGTGTCGACAGTCATACATGAGCAAGTATTTGCACTACGAATATACATTTAATAGGAAGTATATTATCGCTGTAATAGCTAATAATTGTTGAACTATTACAAACAAGGACAGAGATTATTGAGCTTATCAAATTGAAAACATAAGCCCAAGTTGCCCAATATAAGCATATTTTTATGGGTATCATACACCCTTTTCATAAATGGCTGCCAATTAAAAATTCTTTTATGTGCATGTAAATTGGCCCAACTAACCTCGTTTCTGGGCAGAAATTCCTTTGAAATCTTAACATGAGTATGAGGCTAGTTGGGCAATTTATATGCACATAAAAGAATGTTTAATCAGCAGCCATTTATGAAAAGGGTGTATATGATTTCACGATTTTATATATAATTTTATCAATCAGACCTTCAAATTCCTGTGGAAACTGTGCAGTCTAGTGACACAGAAGCACCCATATCATCAGAAGATATTAGTAGTATGGCTAGTGAACATAGTGAAGAAGGTGGTGTGTCAACTGATCCAAACACTGAATCAGATGATGCAATTCAATGGGATGGTTTGACAGAGACAGAGGACTCAGATGAAAGTGCATGATAATGATGAACAAAGGAGGTAAAAATTAGTCAATATTTAAGATGCCAACCACATGTGTATACTGTAAATGTTTAGTATGATTAATGATTGGTTAATCAACACATGTGTATTTCTAAATTCCAGAGAATATACAAAGGATAACAACCTGAGTACATCGTGTTTCTGTCACAGCTGATGCTCCTTTTTCAGTTTTGTCCATCCTGCAAAAGTGCCAATCCTCTAGTTGAGACTAGCCAACATGGGACAAAGGTTATTGTGTATACTCACTGTGGTAATCCCAACTGTAAGCAAAGCGATTCTGTGTGGCGCAATCAACCTAACATGGAGGGTACCAAAATTGCAGCAGGGAATTTTCTGTTAAGTTTTGCGACTTTAGTGGCTGGTGCATCAATCAGTAAAGTTCAACGTGTCCTTAGGCATATGGGAGTGGCATGCATTTCACTAAGCACTTTCTTCAGACATCAGAAGGTGAGTTGGTCCTACAAACAGGACTACACCTTTTAACCCATAGAGTCGAATTACACCCACAAGTACAGAAAGATCTGTTATTCTGAACAGTGGTCCTAGTACTGCAACAAGTGAACCTGAATGAGAATGAGTTTTTTCTGTGAGTGACAACTGATGATTACGTGACAACTAATGATTACGTGACAACTAATGGCCAATGTTGCTTTTAGTGTGCCATATTGGCTAATTATTACATTATATCAGGGCTTAAAAGTTAAAATCTGAATTTTCCATCAGTATCCAATGGGATACTGACAACTTGAAATCTGGTATCCACCCATGAAACCTAGTATCCCACATTTGGATAATAGATAGTTCTAGCATTGTGAGCAGATTAAATAGCGGAAACACAGCAATTTGATAATATAATTACTGTAAAATGTAATTTGACAGTAATTAATAACATTCAACATCCCATTGGATACTGAACTTGTGATTTCCAGTAGACCGAGATTAGTGGATATTGGGATACTGCAAATTTGAAGCCCTGTATATGTTCTCATCATTTGTCAAACAGATCAGTTCCCTTGAATGGTGATTCATACAACATATTGTTTTTCATAAACTGTTTCAGAATAAGCTGTTTCCAGCCATTTCACTGCACTGGAAAAACTACCAAAGCCAGCTTGTTGACAAACTCAAACAAAACAAAGAACCACTGGTTATGGCAGGAGATGGAAGGCACGATAGCATGGGGCATAGTGCAAAGTATTGTGCTTACACGATATTCTGCTGCACATCTCCATGTATATTACACTTCAATTTAGTGCAGGTTTGAAAATAAATATTTCTTGATTTCATTCGGGTTTTTTCATAACATAATTTCAATGTTTTATGTCCACATTAGAGGAACGAAGCAGGAAGTAGTCAGGCAATGGAGTACATGGCATTTCAGCATTGTATGGAATATATTAATAATTGTGGAATAACATATGACACACTTGTCACTGACCGCCATACTTCCATAGCGAAACATATAAGGGAAAATCTTAAAGAAGTGAAGCACTACTTTGACCTTTGGCACTTGAGAAAAAGTATGTTGCAAAATATGTTATCTTTCTACTTCCCCCATGTACAGTAATCCAGAATCTGACTTTTAATAGCTTTGCAATCCAGAATCCAAACATCGGAGGAATCCGGAATCATTATCCTTGGCCAATTTACCTGGAATCCAGAATCCACAACCATTCTGGAATCCGAAATTCAAGTACTGGAATCTAGAATCCAAAGAGTGGAATCCAGAATCCAATAAGTGCATGGATTACCTTACATGGGCCGATTCTACTGTACCTTCTCAGTGGTTAATCGATACTTGTGATAAATTTAATATCATTTATTAATCATAGAAATTCGAAAAGTGCTATCAAAAATTGGAAAAGAAAATGACTGTGAGGAGGTCCAACCCTGGATCCGCCCCTGTGAGAACCATCTATCCTGGAGTGCTACTTCATTTGGTGATGGAAGAGTCATATTGGCTAAATTTGTGTCCTTTCTTGGCCATATTGTTGACAAACACAAAAACCTTGATGACCCTATTTTTGACAGCTGTGCACATGGTGACATTGAACACAGGGAGTGGCTTAATGACAGTAAGTAATTGTTCTGATAATATTGATGATATCTGGCACGCAAACTATTTAGGTGCACATTTTGGTTGCACCACATTGCCTGTTTGCATTCTGTCATAAAACAGGTTTTGTAGACACAGACTGTCACTACAGAGTGTTAACATTATAAAAACAAAAATATTATTTGTGTATATTTTAGAATGTGTTGTGTATGAGAAAGTTTGTAAGGCATTGGGAAACAAGAGGTTAAAGAAGGGAATCCAGAAAGCATCTCCCTTATCCCAAACAAGCTGTGTTGAGGGGTTTCACTCAGTGTTGAACCAGTTTGCACCAAAGATGATCGCTTATTCCTATCCTGGCATGTATATTAGGTAATTGTGCATATATATCATATTCACACATAAAAAGTTATTGCAGTGGTGCCGGGGGGGGGGGGGGAATCAATTTGCCCCAGGCCCCCAAATAGTGAGAAAACCAAATATTTAGTTTACATTTTAAGGATCATATTTAAATATTTAATATATATTCACACTTTCTTAATATTAGGCACATTATTGCAGCAGTTCACTTCAACCATAACCTGAATAGGAAAGTGGTAACAAATTCAGATGATTCAGAGCAGCTTGTAGTGGTCTACCCCAAATTCAAGAATGGTGAAGCTACCATCCGGGATGTAAAAGTTGCTGCAAACTTTTGTAAGTATGTGGTTCTGGAGGTCATATTTTAGTTGATGAAGGAAAAGCATTTATGCTCAAATTGCAAAAGTTTTTGACAGCTGGGTAGATTTTTTTATGTACAGTAATCCAGATAATTTTTAGGAGCAAATAGCAGTAAATATTTTTAAATCAACAGTTTAGGTATATATAATAAATTACATTCTCTGATCAGGCTATGTTGAAGAGATGTATCAAACCTTCCTGGATGCTCAAAGGAAAGGCGACCTTGAGGAAGAGAAGGACAAATTGAAGAAGATGACTCCTGAGCCAATAAACACAATGCTGACCAAGCAACCACGAGATGAGGCCATAAAGAAAAGAAAAGAAAAGAAAGGATAGGAGAGCTATGGTTGTGGAAGATGTCCCTCCTACATCAACAGGTTTGAAAAATAAATATACAGTATATTGCATCTGGCCAAAATCCTGCCCGCTGCAAATCAGGCCCCCCATAAAACTGAGGGCCTGCCACGCAGGCTATATATTGCACACATCATGTTATAAATAAACAAACTTTTATTGTTATAACACATATGTAAATCATCTGTTTCTTTCACTTATTTAGTATCTCAAGTTGAGGCAACCACAGCAACACCAAATCAACGGGCAAAACCTCATTGCAGTTTGTGTCACCATCCCATGAAGGGCCACAAAAATGTGGTTGATTGCCCACGGAATCAACAAAACCCAAACTAATGTATAAATATATCTTAAAAAAATACAATTGAAATATTGTTCTATGGTGACAGTGCATTATATAATATACTGTATGCTACAGGGCGGGGTGCCATATCAAGATAGCATGACCAGTTGCCATATGGAACATTTACTGGTACTGTATAAGATATAATATAGGCTATATAGCCATTTGGGGATTACCTTATACCTTGTCTGGCCCAATATATCTACCAGAATAGAATGTTGATTTAAAGATAAAGAGTAGAGCCAACCAAATAACTTTAAAGTAAAAAAAATATTAGCCAACATTTTGTTAATTACAATACAACATCTTCAGAGCAATCTAAGTGAATTTACAGGGTATGGTGTATATATATTTACAAATAATGGGTATTTACAAATACTTTTGTAATATTAAACCATTATTTGTAAATAGTACATACAACATAACATACCCTGCCCTTTCATTTAGATTGTTCTGAAGATGTTGTATTATAAACAGTGAAACATTAGCTAATAATTTTTTTAATTTTATTGTGTTTGGTGTTCTTTTCCAATTGCCATAGTTCTGAAGAATAGAATGTGCCTTTAAAATACTTTATTAATAATGAATAGTCCTTAATTAATTTCAGTTAACAATTTCTTGTTAATCTGATACATCTTCATCAAATCCAGTTAATTCCTTGTCTCCTGGTGGGAATTTTGTTCGAATTGCATGGTATGCACAAGCCGGCAGGGGTATTCGCAGCCGACCCAACACACCATACACAAGCTGTGAGAATTCGCGGTATGCTATTGAGCGAAAGAATCTAAAATGAAAGTAAAAATATTTAAATTCATGATTATATATAATAATATAGCATTTGTAAATTTTGAACACTGATTGGCTAAGAGCTGTGTTAATATAACTCAATGCCAACACAGAAACATTGGAAAATTTCTTTCTTTACACTTTTTTGTGCTATATTATAAAACATTTTTTCTGTATTGATATACAGTTATATCAACACGAGTGGAAACTGGGAAAACTCAAAATTGTGTGAAAAACACTCCGCGGGCAGAGTGTTTTCAGAAAATTTCTAGCCGGAGTGTTTTCACACAATTTCGTTTTTTCACACAATTTCGAGTTTTCCCAATTTCCACTTGTGTTGATATAACTGTATATCAACACGGAAAATCTTTTATATTTGTTAATTTCAATTCAATACACCCTTTCAATAATTATATCACACATATTGTGATTGGTTCATGATTCACTAGAGGAGGCTCCCAGGCCAAATGACGTAATTATCGAAAGGGTGTATTCTACATAGTTTGTCAGATACCAAGGACAAATAGTAGATTTTTGTTATTTTGAGTTGCTATGCAAAGTAAAATTGGGTCATTCCATTTAATTATGTACACCCTCACCCAGTATGGACTAGAATTTCCAAGGAGGTTTGGAAAAATTGTTTCTGAGGGGTTGTGTGCATTGGCATCCTAAGTTGATCTTTTGTGGGGGTTTTTTATGAGTAAGGCAAACATTTCTCAATTTGGGGAGGAGAGGGGGGGGGGGGTGTCAACACTTTGATCCTTTTTTCTTTATAGGGGTTCAAATTTTACTGAACTCGTGCACAGGGGGTGAATTTTAAATAGATGGCCCATTGTAAAAAGCAGATTTATAGTGAAAAAAACTCACGTTTCTTCTGATCCTTGTTGGCGATATCTTTTTCCAATTTTTGTTTTGTATTTTGGTACAGCCATTTTTAAGGACCATTTCTCCAAGCAATTGATTCTAAACCCTGGGTGATTGAGAACACAAGTAGGGGGTATTTCGACGTCTTGTAGGACATCATCGGAACTCAATGCCTTGGTGCATCGATCAATTTCCTGACAACATTGAGTTTCGTACTCGTTCTGTAACAGACTTGTGTCGCAGTTGTTACACTTGCACCTAAGTATTTTAAATAAAAAAAACATACGATTTATTCAAATCTGTATAAAGTCTATAAAAGTGCAAACACGAGCCAATGTGACATGCCATAAAATATATTTTGTATTTACCATTGACTTGTCGGAATCGTTCCGTCTAAACGTTCTTGGAGTTCCTCAAAGTGAATTCTCGCGGTCTCTTTTTCTGCTTCGTATCGCTCAACCCAATCATCATCTGCTATAGGCTCTTCCTCGTAAGGAACAACCACTGCTCCAGCACTATTTTGATCATTGCAGTCTGCTTGAGCCTGAGTTGGTATTTCTTCTTGCGACTCTTTCTCTGAAGGCGAGTCATATTCTTCCACTTCTAGCTCGTATTCCTCGCTTGTATCCACATCGGAGTCATACGATGTCGAACTATCGTCAGAGTAAGATTCGGAAGCAGACATTTTAAGAAACAACAGAAATTATAATTTTTTGTAGGCCCTGCTCTCGCAATGTTGTAGAAAAACACATGTTATGAAATATTTTGGTTACTTCTTTGACGTCACAGCGGCGATTCGTACTCAGACCCTTTTCTCCCGGCCACCTTTTAAGAAACTCTATTTTTTGGCATGTTTGAGCTAAAATATCTCTGGAAGTATTTATCCGTTGCAGGTAAGACATATATCATTCGAATTGTCTCGCCACGGCCGATTTTTGAGGAAAAAAATGGTATTTGTGACATGTGCACTTTAATGAGTTTGAAATTTCGCGCTGTTGTTTTCGTTCTTGTATACGTCGGGAGCATTATTGTTCACTCGGTAATATTGTGGTCCGTCCTGACCGTGTAGCTCAGCAGAGGATCGATCTAGTAATTCGAAGGTCGTGGGTTCGAAACCCAGCCGCGGGAGACAGAGTTTTCTGCTTGCGCGGTCTGGAAATTATGAAATATGCACTCGAGAACATTTTCTACTTTAGTGATTTTTCACATATTGCTATGATTAGCACTGATGAAGATCAAAAAGCTTTGCAGTAATAAATTTATGTGGTGTTTCCACAAAGAAAAAGTATTATTATATTTTCTACTTGGGTTAGATTATTTAACAATTAGTCACCGAAGGCGAAGTGATTACAAGCTTATATTTACTGGTGAATATAGTCTTGTGATCACGGAGTCTGCGGTGACTAATTGTTTTAGCATAAATTCCGTATTGAAAAATAATAATACATACAAACATTGCACTTCACTCTTCCGCGTTTGAGTCAAACGAATGCAGCTGTCGAAACCTTGTCGTCTGATTCTGTTATTCCCAGTTTTAAATTGCCAAATAAATTGTTTTAAGCCGGTTGTCCACTAGCGAAATTTGTCGCGCGAATCTTTTGTCTATATATAGGCTCTCGGCTGGAATGAATTAATTAGATTTTTAATAAATTCTTTTCAATTTTAAAGGACAATGGCAACAAAAAAATTATTATCTCAATAGAAAGAACGTTTAAAATTATCTATAAAATCTTCTTACAGATTTTTTGTAGCAAGCTTAAAGGTGGAGTTACACGAGCAAGAAAATTGCTGCAACTTGCCACAAAATCTGATTTCAACGCATGCTAATTGGAAATGTTTACACGTAAATTACAAATCACAAGGCAACATGTGTCGACATTTCTACTTAACATGAGTTGAAATCAGATTTTGTTGCAAGTTGCAGCAATTTTGTTGCTCGTGTAACTCCAGCTTAACTCATGAAATATTTTGAATGAAAGCAATGAGCTGTCTGCCATCTTGGATTAACTCTGAACCTCATTAACTGTCGTTTTGATGACGTCAGGAGTGGGGTTACAATCTTGGAAAAAATATGGGTAGACTTTTCGAAATATACACCCAAGTTTGAAAATATATGATAAAAATGTGAGCATTTTTCAAATAAAGCAACTATTTACCTT